GGTGGTAGTGGTGGTGGTAGTTGTTGTGGTGGTTGCGGCCTCCCCTCCCGCGCCGCGATGGCTTTCCAGCCGCTGCAGCACGAGTACCTCGTGATGCCGACAGTCACCAGGGCCTACACCAGTGCCTGTGTCATCACCACAGCCGCCGTGGTAAACATTACTATCACTATACCATCACTACCACTACCATCACTACCACCACTACCACTACACCATCACTACAGTCACCAGGGCCTACACCAGTGCCTGTGTCATCACCACAGCAGCCGTGGTAAACATTACTATCACTATACCATCACTACCACTACCATCACTACCACCACTACCACTACACCATCACTACAGTCACCAGGGCCTACACCAGCGCCTGTGTCATCACCACAGCCGCCGTGGTAAACATTACTATCACTATACCATCACTACCACTACCATCACTACCACCACTACCACTACACCATCACTACAGTCACCAGGGCCTACACCAGTGCCTGTGTCATCACCACAGCCGCTGTGGTGATTATACCATCACTACTACACTATACCATCACTATACCATCACTACCACTACCATCACTACCACCACTACCACTACACCATCACTACAGTCACCAGGGCCTACACCAGTGCCTGTGTCATCACCACAGCAGCCGTGGTGATTATACCATCACTACTACACTATACCATCACTATACCATCACTACCACTACCATCACTACCATCACTACCACCACTACCACTACACCATCACTACAGTCACCAGGGCCTATACTAGTGCATGTGTCATCACCACAGCAGCCGTGGTGATTATACCATCACTACTACACTATACCATCACTATACCATCACTACCACTACCATCACTACCATCACTACCACCACTACCACTACACCATCACTACAGTCACCAGGGCCTATACTAGTGCCTGTGTCATCACCACAGCAGCCGTGGTGATTATACCATCACTACTACACTATACCATCACTATACCATCACTACCACTACCATCACTACCACCACTACCACTACACCATCACTACAGTCACCAGGGCCTACACTAGTGCCTGTGTCATCACCACAGCAGCCGTGGTGATTATACCATCACTACTACACTATACCATCACTACCACTACCATCACTACCACCACTACCACTACACCATAACTACAGTCACCAGGGCCTACACCAGTGCCTGTGTCATCACCACAGCAGCTGTGGTAAACATTACCATCACTATACCATCCCTATCACATCACTACCACCACTATACCATCACTATCACATCACTACCACCACTATACCATCACTATCACATCACTACCACCACTATACCATCACTATCACATCACTACCACCACTATACCATCACTATCACATCACTACCACCACTATACCATCACTATCACATCACTACCACCACTATACCATCACTATCACATCACTACCAACCACTATCACTATCACATCACTACCACCACTATACCATCACTATCACATCACTACCACCACTATACCATCACTATCACATCACTACCACCACTATACCATCACTATCACATCACTACCACCACTATACCATCACTATCACATCACTACCACCACTATACCATCACTATCACATCACTACCACCACTATACCATCACTATCACATCACTACCACCACTATACCATCACTATCACATCACTACCACCACTATACCATCACTATCACATCACTACCACCACTATACCATCACTATCACATCACTACCACCACTATACCATCACTATCACATCACTACCACCACTATACCATCACTATCACATCACTACCACCACTATACCATCACTATCACATCACTACCACCACTATACCATCACTATCACATCACTACCACCACTATACCATCACTATCACATCACTACCACCACTATACCATCACTATCACATCACTACCACCACTATACCATCACTATCACATCACTACCACCACTATACCATCACTATCACATCACTACCACCACTATACCATCACTATCACATCACTACCACCACTATACCATCACTATCACATCACTACCACCACTATACCATCACTATCACATCACTACCACCACTATACCATCACTATCACATCACTACCACCACTATACCATCACTATCACATCACTACCACCACTATACCATCACTATCACATCACTACCACCACTATACCATCACTATCACATCACTACCACCACTATACCATCACTATCACATCACTACCACCACTATACCATCACTATCACATCACTACCACCACTATACCATCACTATCACATCACTACCACCACTATACCATCACTATCACATCACTACCACCACTATACCATCACTATCACATCACTACCACCACTATACCATCACTATCACATCACTACCACCACTATACCATCACTATCACATCACTACCACCACTATACCATCACTATCACATCACTACCACCACTATACCATCACTATCACATCACTACCACCACTATACCATCACTATCACATCACTACCACATCACTACCACATCACCATCACTACTACCATCACTACCACCATCATCACTAC